CGGGCAGGGGATTCGAACCCACCACCTTAGGTGTATGTGGCTGGTGCCTTAGCCACTTGAGCCACAGGCGCCGAGCCAGTGTGCTGTTTTCATATACATTTTTAAATACTTTCAAGGTTCCGCCCTTTATTCCCAAATTTTATGCTATGTGACTATCCTGATGTAAGGTTATAAAGAAATTGTTCATCCCATGATATCACCTAATGCCGTTGAATGAAGTAACAGGGCTGTGATAAAAATGAAACTTCACATCGATGAAACCTGCGTGTGGGCTAAAGCAACTTCTTTTTCCTTTTCTTGAGAGGGAAGCTATTTCCAAGGATACTGTTTTAACCTCATATTACAGTAAGCAAACTTAACCATTTATCTCTTATGTAAAAAAATTTTTTATATAATTATTAATGCATAATCTGATGCCTGTTAAGAACACATATGAAGGAACATGCGGTTCTGGCCCTTCCGAGGCTCTTTCCAGCTCTTCTGGCTGAGCAGCTCTTCTGTTTTCTACCACCCAAGATGAGGACTGAGCTCTCCTTGTTACTTCCTTGGTTCCTTGAACTTCCATCCTCCCGCCTGCTAGGTCAGCCAGCGGCCTACACAGGACTTCTCCTCCCCCGTCTTCTAGTTATTTCATAACTTTCTCAGGAAGGGAACCAGTTAGTCTGGCTCATAAAGGCATAGGATACATTAAACAGTCTCTGAAATTTAAATGCCATTAAAATCAGGAAAGAAGGGCGGCACCTGTGGCTCAAAAGGGTAGGGTACCGGTCCCATATGCCAGAGGTGGCGGGTTCAAACCCAGCCCCCACCAAAAACTGCAAAATAATAATAATAAAATAAAATAAAATCAGGAGAGAAGGATATTGGATATCAATCTCACCCTCTACAGTAGCAGCGTGCCCACAGCACAAAATAGTCTCAGTCAAAAAAGAAAGAAAAGTGTTTAGACGGAATCTTGTGACATTCTAACACCTATGTTACCGATAGTATAATCCTACAACATCAAGTGTATAAAGTCTAGACTTCAATTTTGAAGCATTCCCAAACTTTCAGGAACCGTGGGGCAGACCTGGTGAACTTCTGCAAGAATGTTTTATTTTAAAGGATTCTCTTTGAAGCTTCTTTTTTTTTCTTGTATTTCAGATTGATACAAGGGTACAAACAACTAGGTTATATTGTTTGCACCTGTTAGGTCTAGTCCAAGTGATAGCTGAGCCCTTCACCCAGGAGGTGGCCATAGACCCTTACATTGTGAGCCTTAGGTGGGAGCACCTCAGTCCCACTCACGTCTCCCCTCTCCCCCCTACTGGGATGTAATTGTGTTTTCTCCTATGTGGGCATGTAGATGTTCATCCATTGGTTTCATATTAGTATTGAATACTTGTTTTTCCATTCTTGTGATACTTTACGTGAGAGAATGCTCTCCAAATCTATCTAGGTAAGTACAGAAGATGTAAAGTGAAAGTTCATTTTTGTGTGTTTGTACACTCCCTCGGGAGAAACAGATTTTGTATATCAGGACTGCTGTCTGAATGTCTTTTCTTTCTCTATTTTGTAAGGACCAAAAAGCTAATAGTGGATGTGATTCGGAACCAGTCAGGGACCTCATTGACAGAAATCTTAGAGACACCGGCAACTTCACAACAGGTAATTTTTCTTTAAGTGTAAAATAATTAATATAATAGATAGGAGTTGATTTTCTTAATAATCTTAATGTTACATGTGTACTATTATCTCAGAGAAACTCTGTGTGCCGTGGTTGAAGAATTTTATCCATTACTGTAGTCAGCTGAGTTCATCTATATATAAAACTCATATGAAGTATCAATGGGAATGAAATGGAAAATGCAATACCAAATTTATGCTGAATCTAATTTTGTTCTAGACTTAGGAAGAAAACTCCAGGTTTTATTCAAACCCTCAGAATGTTCATCATGAATATTGCATGGTGGATGGACAGATGAGTCAGTTGAGGATAGTGCTGGTTAATCGGCTATAGAAAACTACCCTTTATATAGTTTCTAACTTGAAGAAACAAAGAAGTGTCTCATATGTTGAAGCTGACTCCCAGTGCTTCAGAAACAAATGTTGAGTCCATTGGGTTAAAGCACATTATGTTGGTATAAATAAAGTCTCATGACAATCTTGCATTAAATTAACTTTTTATCAACATCTCATCAAATGCATCATTATTTAGTTCATTCTGAAATGAGTTCAAGGTTATTATTGTAGCACCAATATTAGAACTCCCTAAGCAAAAACTAACCGGCTGGCATCATAGCTCACAGCAACTTCAAACTCTTGGACTCAAGCAATTCTTTTGCCTCAGCCTCCCAAGTAGCTGGGACTACAGGCACCTGTCACAACGCCCGTTATTTTTAGAGACAGAGTCTTGCTTTGGCTCAGGCTGGTCTGGAACTCATGACCTCAGGCAGTCCGCCCACCTTGGCCTCCCAGAGTGCTGGGATTACAGGCGTGAGCCACCACTCCCAGCCAAAAACCCACAAAATTGTTTAATACATTACTTCTTAGCAGAGCTACACATAGTTTTCCTGAGTCATTTGTAATTAGTTGGCAAGAAATCATTCACAATTTTTAATTTTAAAAATATAAAATAAAACTTCAAAGTATGTGTGTGTTAATGTGTGAGTATTTACAATGTAGACAGAATATCATGCTAATTTAGTATAAAAGGCTTTTATTCCTCGTTGGATT